GGAGGGAATCAGAAAGATTCATATAAGGGTGTGGGTGTGGGTGTGGGTGTGGGTGTGGGTGTGAGTGTGGGTGTGGGTGTGGGTGTGAGTGTCAACATTTTTTACACACACCCACGTCCACCCACTTCATTAATTACTTCAGTTTTCTCCATTGCATCAATATCAACATGAAAATCGATTCGTTGATTAGTCTGATGATGAAATATCTGTTAAGCATGAGACAGCCAAAGACGGTAGCCAAACGTCGTACGAATAAGGTGATTACTAGCCTAGTACGCTCTCTACCAATTCATATAGAAATCGATAAGTGATAGTTAGATTTTGAAGATCCATTGGTGAAGTTATATAAGCCATGACACATTGCCAGATTACTGGTGTGATCAGGCTTACATGGATGGTGTTCAACGATGTAACTCCTAATGATGACTTTAATTGTCGATTGGTCATTTTTCGATCATCATCGTTACAAATATATCTTCAAACTTTGGCCATTTTTTTCCCAACGAGGGTGAGTGTGCATGTGGGTCTTTTTCCACCCAACACCCATAGCCTCTCATTTCAAAAATTTCAAGAAACTAGTAAAAAGTCATTTTGTTGTCTTTTGTTTACAATGTATTTATTCATCTTTGATGAAAATGCAAGTTTTGGTTTCTACATTCATTTTCAGCATCTCCAATTGTAATTACAACTCAGATAAAATAAAACGGACAAAAAACCCACTTTCAGTACTTATTTTAATTAGATCAAATCCTATGGGTCGGTAAAATAATAGCATTTGTTATGTAATTTCTCAAACAAATAATTTCATTGACCTACCTTCTTCATTATTGCATCAGATCTAAGGAAGACTTAGAATAAACTGGTTTCTATGACTTATGGTCCTGCAATGTCAAAGTATTAAAAATTTCTTAAGAATGGTCGAAGCTTCGACTAATGCAAGAGATTTACATGACATCAATGAGTAGTGCAACATCCCAGATCTGTTCTCTCCCTTCAAATAAAATAATCAGCGGAAAGATGACTCAAGCTTTTTTCATTCTGTTCTTTAGACATTCTGACGCAACATGTCTATATTATTGCGAAATAGTGATGAATCATAGGGAAATTTTCTCTTTACGTTTTGATAATGTCCTCTGTATAAATACGCCTGTTTTCTTTATACAATTTCAGTAATCTTGCAAGTTCGTCGACTATTTCTGGTTTTCATCACTGTCTTCAGCTGTATTATTTACTGACTGTGTGTTTCAGATTGTTTTTGTTGTGAAACATCTTTTTTGTACATTTTATTGATCGTTTATTTCTAAATAAAAGTTTGCAATTATCCTTGCATTTTTCATTTAATTTTTTTCTTATGGCGTCTACAACCATGTCCTTTATTCGATACCGATACAAATCAGAAAAAGATTTTAAATTTTTTATGTGTGATGGCATGAGCTGTTCTGTGAGTTATTTAAAACAATCTCTAATGGGCAAATCATCGAAATCAAAGTTACGTCGCTCGAAAGATGAAATTGATTTTACCATTACTAATGCATCAACTAATGAAGGTTTGTCTCTAATTATTACTCTTCTTTGTCACATGCATTCTTGTTGCTGTTCTAGAGTACCGAGATGATCATGATTTAATTCCACGCAATACAAGTGTCATTGTAGTTAGACGGCTACGGGAAACTTTCGAACCGCTGACCCCTGCGACAGCTCAACATCAACCTGTTTCGTTTGATGATATTAGTGATGAGTGAGTAGAAACAAAATTCTTTTTTCAAAAATAATAAAATATTTTTCTATTTTCGATAGCAATATTCGAGCTGTTCTTCGATCAAAAACGTCAACTGATGCAATTTTGTGTAAAAATACTCCAACAAACGCTACTACTGAAATGGAATTGCTTGAAAATATTCAAAAATCGCTACACCCAATGATCAAATCAACGTCCTACATTTGTCATCATTGCAAGCGGTGTGGACATATAAAGCGTCATTGTCCCCTTATGATACAAAGTTCTTCAGCTAAAATACGCCAATCGATCGATCCGACACATAAATCTGTGATTTTTAATGTGTATAATACTGATATAAAACAAAAATTGTTTAATAAAACTCAGACTAGTATTGACATTCATCGCGTTGTGCCAGTTCCTTTTCCCTCTGTTTCTTGTCCCTCAAACATTTCCCCTCAACAGTTTCCATTCAACTGCATGATGGATCCTCTATCAAAAGAAGATGATGAAGTAAAACTGAGTCACACTTCCTCTGTTCAACTTTTAGCTCGCCCAGTACATAGAGCGCCCCGCTTTTCACCGTATCAACTTCCAAATGGTGCTGTTCATCAATTTCCCATATCTGAAACAAGAGCAGATATTTCATGTAATAACTTCGCTGCAATTCCGCGAGAGACTACCGGAGCGGTACAAGACAAAAATGGTGCTTTTTGGTGCCAAGAAAAATGGGACAACTAGAATTTCACTGATTTCAACCAAATATTTCCGAAATTCAAAAAAATTTCTCGTACAACAATAAAGCGAAAAAAATTAATAATAAATAAATAAAAAGGGTGGGGGTGGGAGTGCACATGGATGTGAGATAAGGTTGACTTTATTTATTCCTTTCTCCATCGACATGCACATCCAAAACCATACCATAGTCGATATTTTAACAAACTGAACAAATAAAATTTCAAGCTTAGTATCCAAGGAGACTAAAATTTCATCAGAGTACCTATCATGGAATATTTTGATAAAGCATCAAGAAATCATTTTGAGCAAGTGTGCCAATTATTGATACAAAAATCAATATATTAAATGGTTCATTTATAGCCAACGACTTTGAGGACGCTATATCTACTTTTTCTCTTATTGATAGTTGACAAGAAAAATGCTATTTGTAATAAGTTTTCGTATAATAAATAAAATACTGATGATTAAGCATTAATTTCACTCTAGTTAATTTGCATTTTTGAAAACTATTGAAGTACATACAAATGCCGTGGAACAAAGTTGAATCCATTTTAATGGATATTTTTCAATTTTCAGGATAACTGTTTCAATCATTTTCCAGACTAGAATAACTATTTAAAACACACTTATCAATAGTTTATTGCAAAAAAAGACTGTCTACTAGTACGATTTGAAAAAAAAAGGATTTTTGGAGATTTCAATAAGTTACTCTCGATCACATTTACTTGTACATCAGAACTTCGAATTTATGTTCATTATAATTTTAGTTAGAGCTGTTAAAAGTGTAGAATCGCTTGAAAATCAAGTTTTCAGCGATCAAAATAAAAAGCTTAAGAGGACTCGATATTCTATAGTTTCAGAGGGAGTTGAATTTTTAACAGAATGAAAAAAGACATATTTTCAAGTTTCGACTACTTATTGTACTATTCGTCAGTTTTTTTTCTAGCTTTTTCTTGGATTTTAATTTGACTTTGTCTCATGTTTTAACCATGGTTATTTTTTTTTGTATGAATATAAGATGCATAAGCACAAAACGTTTGGGCTCACCGAAAAATAATGCACGTAATTCACAAGGTTTGACCAAGATACATAAAGATCTATAATAATCGATAGAATGTTGAATAATATAACCAAACCCCTATGAGCAGTTCACGGGTATATAAGCTCTTTATAAGGAATTAAATCCTTTCGCTACTACTTTTGATATGATTCAATACTAGCGTGCTAGAGATTAATATATTTGATACTAGAAAATGCTTATAATTTGCTAACAACATAACTTAGAAAGATCTGGTGTTTATGGCTACATTAAGCATAACAATGATTATCAAGACAGTTAAAAATATTAGAGAAACCAGTTTCTGTGTACAACAGGAAATGCAATGCAAATTCTAAGAAAAAAGAAAAACAGTTTATGGTTCGATTCGATAGAACCGAGGTGTCTCTTGCAAATGGCAAAAATTGCAGCTTTCGATTTCGTTTGTACCGAAAGTTACCTTGATGAATTACTATTCTGTTGATTGGATAATAATTCATTTAATTTAGTAATAATTTCATTTTCAATAAAAATTAATTGACTTAGTTGACTTTAGAAGAAGAAAGAAGATTTATTATAGAAAATAAAATTTATTTGATTTACTTTTAATTAGTCTGAACAAGTAGCGTATATTGTTGATATTAACGCGTTATTTATTCATTTATTTCATCCATAGTATTTAGGAATGATAGTGATTGTGAGCTTACTATAGAAATGTTAATATTTCACTTAGTATAATGATTGTTATCCTATTAACAGCATAAAAATAATCTATTAAAAAAGATTAAAACATTTAACATGATCGATTAAGACCAAAAAGATATTCACCAACATGACGAATAATATTATCAAATGTAACTAACACATGTCGAAATAATTTATTTTTCGATAAAAGAACTAAAAATACTCTAAGACAATTAATATAAAATATAAAATCGATTATAAAGGACTATCGTTCAAATAAATACTAGAATTTTTTTACGAGAATATTTCAACATAAAATGAAAAACTCCTATTATTCAAAAGTAAATACAGTCAATTTTAACAATAGATTATAAAATCAGAAATTCATAGTTGTGGGTGAAGAGAAGACCGGCACCCATATTACTTAAAAAAACAATGAAAATTGTGTTCTTTGGAGTAGGGCATGAATGTCGTGTAAGTGTGTAGGGTGTGGATGTGAATGTAAATCAGATGAACAATTACATTGACACTCACCAGAAATATGTGATGATCGGCAAAATAGAAACCATCGAATTTCATCTTCAGTTCAGCTTCTTGACCCTGCGAGATTAGATAAAACGTGTATGGACAAAGTTCAAATCAGTCATTATGATCGATCTATTGATGAATATTTTATTTAAAAAAAGTAAAAGAGTACACTACAGTAAAATATATGGTTTAAAAGGTTGATTGATTCATATGTGTTACAAATAAATAAAATATAACTGTAATACACCTGAAAATAAGAGTTTCTTAGTGTCATAGTCTTTAAATGAAAGATCAATGTCAATAATCCTGTCGTCGAATGGCAGTAACTTTTTCATCTGGATCTTCGTAATTATATGAGACAATTGCACGTTTTTCTCGTTCAGGTTCAGACTCTCCAACGAGGTATGGTCTCATTGATACACGGCCACCTGTTGTGTAGGTGCCAAGACGAATTTCATGGACACTATATCCTAAAAGAAGAACGATACATGACTGTAAAATCAAAACACATGATTCAAGCATGATTGAAGCCTTCTATTACCTTGACTTTCTAATTCTTGTTTAACTTTACTAAAAATTTGTCCAACATACTTCTGTATTTCTTCAGTAGTGGACGTCATGATGTATTTTGTGCTGTTTATATTACCTTTACGTATATTGATGGTAAATGAAATGAATAGGTTGCTTGTGTGACTCTTTTAAGTAATGCATGTTCAGTTGCTTTCTTTATTACAGTTTTATTGAATGGGTACTTTGTGAAACAACGAAGAGCAGAGAAGAAAAATCCTACCAGGCTGTATCGAAAATTTTCTCAGGGTATCGTGTATGAATAGTTTCTGTTTTACTACCTGCATAGGTAAACTAGAAAAAATCGAAGCATATATGAAGAGTAAAGCATTTTTCATCGTATAATTCTTTTCTTTACTATGCGTTAGATGAAAGACTCGGTTGTGCTTATATTCTAAAATGAGAGAAAGTTATAATTATGAAGTATTCGGCAATAAAACAATTCAATACAGTTTACCGTTACTTTCATCATCATTATGCTGAGAATCGACTCTGCTCGTACTGTTGGAAGAGAGTAAGCACAGAGACAGAAGAAAAAAGCATAGAGAAACCAAAAGTCTAAAAAACACCTAGTGAATAACAACAGTAAAGAGAAGAAGAGGTAACGGAAGGCGCTTGTGTGTTTTCTGAGGACAGAAAAAGGGGAAAAGTAACAACTAAAACATAAGAAATGAAAAAAGAAAGAAAAAGCGAGGAATGATGGTAGAAAAATTCTACCAACCCTACCCCAGGATACAACGGCTTAATTTCAATCAATAACATTCATTTCAAGACAAGTGATTCATACTCATGCACTCGATTACTATCGAACGATAGCCCAGGTATACAGTGACTGCGATCGCATTGTAACTCTTGATTTAGAAAAATGAGGACGTAATTACATTGCAACTGTGAACCATTTCAATCATAATTTTGAAGTATCAAGGCGAATTACATACCTTTACAATGAAAACTTTCTAGTTAGAAACAACTACTCTTTTTTCCCTAACTATGGACAACGATGTGATAATTTTTCGCAATTAAGGGTCACACTGTGATCGCCACTACAACCTACTTGCATCACAGTAACTATTGGGTTGGTGCAAAAGTCTTAGTCAATATTTTGCTTTTCGATTTTTTAAAATTTTATTAGAACAAAATAAACCCCCCCTCATAATAAAAGACCCCCCCATATTAGAAGACCCCCCGTTTTAGAAGACCCCTCCGGAGGAGTCACTCCATAGAAATTTCTTTTTTTCACCAGCAAAAATTTACAAAATTTACAAAAGTTCGCTGGACCATAATAGAAGACCCGGGGTCTTTTATTGTAGGGGGGGGGTTTACCACCAATCAACAACATATGCAGGGTGTGGATGTGGGTATAGTTATTTTCTTAAACCATACCCACACCCACTCACCCTCTAGAATCTCTATCTATGAGCAAAATTTCAGCTAAAAATATAATCATCTAAATTCTAAATATATTCTGGATCCATAAATCAACAAGAAAAGATCGCAATAATAAAGCAAAATAGACGTTTTCGTCATTCATCAAGACCAATTGAATGGAAATAGTCTTAAGGACAACGCGACTGAACAATGGAGGACGTTTCCTCATCAATGAAAAAATTCAAAGTTTAGAGTTTAACAATCAAGTGTTGGGCCAATGACCCTTTTCTTGTGGAGTAGAGTATAAATTTGAGTGTATATGAACATCTTCTCTTCAAGTACACTCCTATTCGCACGCTGGGACCTAGCAATTAAATCTATATTTGACTTTTGTAAAGAATCAAGACATCGAAATCAAAATATTTGATTCGACTTGCTTGTCTCTGTGTGTTCATTAAAAGCATAATGATTTCTGAAGTTTTTCTCTTATTTTCCTATAACCAATAGCAACATCACGCAAATCATCACTTTTAATCATCGAAAAATTCGTCATAACAAAATTACAAGAATTTCTTTCTTTTGAAGTTTCTAGAGAAATCAATATTCTATTCCTTCTCTGTATTGAGATATATGCAGAATAGAAGTGTAACAATCACTGTGATTCATCCAGTCGTATCAGAGTGTTTTTCGACTTTAGGCTTAAACCAATCACATATCAAGGCCGAATATGTTGAGTCAAGCGGTATAATTCGATTTTGATTATTCATTTGCTGACTTGCACGTACAGCTTGAACACTTGCTGCTATCATACAGCTTAGAGTGACGTCGAATTTTTCCGGTAATATAGGATTTAGAATTCCTACAAATGTTATGGGCATTCCACCGTTGACGACAGTCAGCTTTCGTCGATTGTCAATGCGGAATTCAATATTACGATGGATATCTTCACTTGTGAGTTCATCGATTTGGGCACTGGATAGGCCGATTTCAGTGTCGCATAATGCACGTTGAACCATCTCGTAAAATGGAAATTCGATGGCTCCCGATGAGACGCTTATCAAGTGAGCATTATTGCGTAGTACAGAGAAAGACGACATGGGTAATGAGCAACGGCCCGTACAACCAATCACATAATCGAATTCTTCATTGCTATCCCAATTATCGAATATTTCCAAACCCTCGTCTTGTGCTAATTGACGTCTAGAAGCATCTTGATCCCAAACTTTGACTGAACCTTTAGAAAAGATGTTCAAGTCACCACCACGCATTAAAGCATGACCAATCGCTTGTCCAATAGCACCATAGCCAAGCAATAGACATTTTTGTGATTGTGATGGTTTTGGAATTCGTAGAGACTTCGGAGCATCGTAAAACAAATAAGATAACATATTTAGACAAGCCTCCGCAATCAACAATGGTTCTAGTCGTCGTTTGGGCTCACTGGAAGCCACATCAACGATCGATGTTCCAATTCGATTTAGAGCTTTTTCAATACTCGGCTGCTCAATATACTTGAAGAGACCACGTGACGTTTGTTCGACCAGACGAATTTCGATCGATTCCAAGTGTGATAGAAGCAATGATGCATCAGATCTCTCAATTTTCAATGTTGCTGGAAGATTTTCAACAAGTTGATGTGGATCTAATCGACCGTCATCAATCTCATAGAGATTAGCCAATGCTTCAGAAAAACAGGCTCCACTATCTAACACGAGTAACTTCATGGGTGTCACTTTCTTTTTTGTGAGTTCCATCGTTATCAATCGATTTAATTCAAATAAAACCTGTGCCAAACGATACTTTTCGTAGTTATAGCTTAAACAGTACGGTGCTGCGTGAAAGAAGTTTTCCTCTGGAACTTGGAAATGCTCAATAACGAATCGTTCAAAGCTTTTGTGATGCGTGTACGGTGGTGGAAGAAAATATAGATTCGAAGGTGGTGCACCTAGAACCAGAAGAGCTTCAATTTGTGCAGTCACGTCTCCTAGTTCATGTTGTATATTCCATATTGTATAGTTTTCCAGTGGCTTCTCGTTTTGCACTGTTTTGACTATCGATGACAACAGTGGAAGATTGGAAAGACGAATACATTGTTGATGAACACGTGTTTCAAATGGAATATGAGTAATGATATTGTCAGTATTCATAAGTCAAGTGTCTGCAGTCGATCTGAAAGAAAAACGAATTGTAACGATTGAAAACAGAGAGAATCAAGAATTCTTTTTCGATACCGATTTTACACAAGAAAATTCTCGAGTGTTCGTGTAGGTCTCGTATGAATCTGGGCGCCGATGTGAGTCTAGGTTTTAGACTTTGTTTCACTTACTCTAACATCATAATTAGATACGTACCCTACAGATGCAGTATTGTGTTTAATCACAGCTGCTGTAAATCATTGCATCACATTGGTTGAACAAAAATAGCTTTTATACAGAAGCTTTCTTAACTTCGGCATGAGCTGCAAAACCTGCATTGGTTTTTGGTGTCGCTACACTCTCGAAACCTTTAATACAAAACGTTTTTGAGATCTGCTGGACTAAAAAGTGCTCGATGTCAAAAATACCAAACCATTCATGTTTAAAATGAAACCTTATAGGGGTTGCGTTATACTCTGAAGTGTCGGTATTGTACTTCAATGGCTTTATATTTGTAATGCGGAACATTTTTTCGCTCTAAGAATCTGAGTAAGAGTTCTTAGCAAATATGTCAAGAGTGTATTCGCATGAAGCACCATTTTATGTACTGCAGCCCCTTGTCGAACTTAAAAGAACTTTGCTATGAAAAGGATGTTTTTAGAATGCAGAAACTTTACCAAGTTGAAAGTTCCAGTAAGCAAAATGAGCCGTAGAATGCTCTATTTTCTACTGTACTCCGTTTTGGACATCTCTACGTCACAGTAGTTTCCAGTCAAAGACTAGGTCAATCTTAGACACAGCTGGAAAATACCGAAAATTTGTAATGTCTGAGAAGCGAAGATCGAGAAGAAAAATTCGTTATGGACTTATTTCATAACATACTACAACTTATCAAACGAGTTTAGTTTCAATTGAGAAATGCATTGACTTCTCGAAAGATTGCTATGTGAAAATACATCCAAGTCATATTTTGTTGCAATGTTATTACCTTAAGAGATATCAAGTCGTCTATTATGCTTTATTGCACCATAATTTTAGCAGTTACTTCCTTCGAGCACTATAAGATGAAAATTAAAAGAAGCTCTCTTTCTTGTTGTAGCTTTTCGTTTGATGCTACGTTGCCCATCTATATACTTTTCTTGTGACGTGATAAGGGTATTGTTATCATTATCTTTCAAGCAAGATCCGTGAAAACTGATGACTCGACGAATATTCCAGTTTTTTTCGTTCTGTGATAAAGATAGACATAAATATGATGATTTCTGCCTTTTATATCGCATGCAAGTCTTGCGCGCTAGTATGACATTGTCGGCGTCTTCAAATAAACAAGAAACGCATTTTTCTACTCAAAACGAAGCATTATCTATTTAAACGATGTACCGATGCTCCAATTCCTCGAAAGTATCGTCAACAATGAAACAATTCAAAGAAAAGAGTGATCGATTCGAAAACTACAAAAAATGAAGTTCGTTAGCTGAAGGAATATTATTGTCAGCTTAAAACGTAGTGTGCACACATTTTTGCAGCATGTATCTGTTGAGTGATACAAA